CCTCTAACCTCCCTGAGTTCCGTTTTTTCTGCTGCTGAGAAACTTTTCCCCCCCTCTGAGGATTGTACCCCACACACCCCACCTGCCATGATAAACCCCACCCCCTACCTGCCAGGATGTACCCCACACACCCCACCTGCCATGATAAACCCCACCCTACCTGCCAGGATGTACCCCACACACCCCACCTGCCATGATAAACCCCACCCCACCTGCCAGGATGTACCCCACACACCCCACCTTCCAGGATGTACCCCACACACCCCACCTGCCAGGATGTACCCCACCTGCTGCAGGCCCACCCTGCCTCCTCACTGGCCAGCACCTTCACCCAAGCAAGGCAGCAGAGACTTTGTAGGGACCCAGGCCCTTCCTGTCGGCCGTGGGGCTGACGGAAAGCAGAGGTCTGTCTGTCTGTCTGCTGTGACTTCTGCACAGACTGGCAACACATGTCCAGAGTAGGCTGTGATTGGCCAGGGGAAGGGGCCGAACTCTAATTCCAGCACCCTCTCACACTTTCCTCCCTGGGACACACACACTTGGTGCCACCCCCACTGCCAGCCTGTCTCTGAGGGGAAACCTTACAGAGGCAGCAAACCCAGACACTGGGGCCCCCACGGTCCCCAGCAGCACTGTGGATCTTGGGACTTTCTCCATCCCTCTCCAGAGCCTCTGCCACAAGCCCGATTTGGGCCCAGCCCCGGTGTGGGCTGGGAAACAGGAGCTAGACTGTGATGCTAGCGCCCCCCTCCCCGCCCCCCCAGCACTGCTCAGGCCAAAGGCTTGTTTTGTTCAGAGAGGCACTCTTCTGTGGCCCGCCCTTTAAGGTGCTCTGGCTTTAAGGTCCAGTCACAGGTCGTCAACACCTGCCTGGGAGATGGCTGGCCACAGGGGGTGGATTCAGGGAACAGTTTCCAGCTGGGGAGGCCTGGTTGGTGAGACTGTGGACCTGGGGGGCTGTGGGAGGGGCTTCCTGCCAGAGCCGCATCTGCCCTTCAAGTGGCCCTGCCAGCTTACCAGCCCCTTCTTAGAAGTGGGCTCAGCAGCTGCCAGCAGCCTTGGCACTGCTGGGTGGCTCTGCGCCAGCCAGCCCTGCTGCCCACCCTGCCCCGCAGACCAGTGCCAGCAAGCCCCCCGGGCACCCGTGGAGGTGGTGGCTCATGAAACCCAAGCGTGGAAGGGCTCTGGGGCGGAGGCCAGGCCTGCCCCAGTGTGCTGAGAGTGCAGCTGAGGCCCTGCTAGAATGCAGACTTGCCCACCTCCGCCAAGACAGCGATTTACAGGGGATGCTCACTGTGGACAGAGCGGCCCTGCCAAGCCTCTGTTGCTTTGGCTGTGGTAAACCAGAGAGTGTTTCCTGAAAGGGAACCGGGGGTTGGAGGAGGAGGGAACCAGGTGCACCTATACCTGATGCACAAAAAGCAAACAGAAGAGGGAACAGACCCACAACTATCTCTCAGTACACATTTCAGCTAGAAAAATGTCAAAAGGAACCTTAGCAAAAGAAAATGGGAGCCCGGCCTGCACCCTGCCCCCACCCCTCCCCGGCCCCCCACACCAATGCTGGTCTCCTTTCTCCCAGGAGCTGTGGCTGGGGTCCTGCCTCACCCTAGGAAGCAGCATGGATCTGCCAAAGAAAAAGCGCTTCAGCCCCAAGAGAAGCCGGGAGGGCCCGGTGTGCTCCCTGGGCACGTGTGCTGCCCCAGAAGAGAGTTCTGGGAAGACTCACACAGGCTTCGACGCCAACCTGGGGAAGATTCTCCTGGGGTCAGACAATGTGCCCAGGAGGCCTTCCTCAGAGCTTGACCTTGAAGCCCCCTTTATACCCACGCCCCTGGTCCCACCCTTGGTCTTAGACAAGGAGCAGCCTGGGAAGTCGCCCCTGACCGGGGTTAAGAAGCAGTACCCACTGATGAAGCAGCATGGCTTCTACTCGGACATCCTCAGCCCTGGGACCCTGGATCAACTAGGGGTGAGTGTGGGAGTGCTCCCTGCCAGGTCTGAGGCCCGCATGCGGGTCCTACACACTCATCCATCTATCCAGCCAGCCACCATCAACTATTCACCCACCACTTTATCATCCAGTCACCCGTCATCACCCGCCTCTTCATTCTTTGTCTGTCCACCCATCCATTTTAAATCGACCTATCCAACCATCTATCCATTCATTGTATATCCATCCATCCATCCATCCAATTTTTATATTAATCTATCCATCCATCCGTTCATTTATATCAGTCCATCCATTCATTTATATCAATATATTCATCCACCTATCCATTTTGTATCAACATCCATCCATCCGCTCATTTTATATCAATGTATCCATCCATTTTATATCAACACCCATCCATCCACTTTCCATCTGTTTGTTTATCTTGTGTACATCCTCCTGACCATCTGTCTGCCAATTCATTCAACAACTCATCACTTAGCGCCCGCCTGCTGTATCAGACCGGGCACTGAGTGCTGGAGATCAGGAGCTTTGTGGAAGACTCCCTGGCTCTGGTTGGGAAGGGCTCTTTGGCTGCAGTGGCCTCCTGGTGAGATGTAAGGGATGAGTGTGCACTTTGGAGTGTGATAGGGGCTGAGGGAGCGTGCTAGACAGGCAGAATGCAGGTTCAAAGACTGGGAGTCGAGTTGGGCCCATGTGCGAACGAACGAGGTGGAATTTGAGGATGGGGCGGGAGGTGCCTGGGGGAGAGCTCACAGAGCCTTAGGAAGGTTTCCAGGCTGGGGTTTCTAGAACAGCCCTTGGGAGGGCTGGTGCCCACCCACAGGTAGGCTCTGTCCCACCTCTGTCTCATGGCTCAGCCCCTGAACATGGACTGGAGTGGCATGGGTCCTGGGTGTATTCAGCCTTTGAATAAGCCGTTGTGAGAGTGTGCAGGTTCTGCCTACCGCCCTGCCTCGTGCTCTTGGGGTGCCCCAGTGGGCTTTGGAGAAGCCCGCTACCTCAAGTCCCCCCCAGGCCCTGATTGTCCCGCTCACTCAGGGCTCACACCCCTCGGGTCTGGGTTTGGTTTCAGAATGTTTCCTGCGGCCCCTCCGTCCACCAGAGCCTCCTGTACCAGGCGGACCTTGACAAGTACACCCCGAAAGGTCAGTGCCAGGAGGGGCTTATCCCTCAGGGAGCCGGCCTCTTTTCAGCCAGGTCCCTGCTCTCTGAGCCCTATGAGGTGCTCTCAGGGCACCATGGTGGTGGGTGAGGCCGCTGAGGGCCAGGGCTGTTTGTTCCGGCCCGTCTGGGAGGGCAGAGCACTCTGTGTGGTCACTGCCTCCCCTGGATCCTGACCATGAAGGGAAGGGGGTCAGGTTGTGTTGGTCTTTGGGGCCTCGAGCAGGTGGGTGCTCAGAAGGTTGCTGAAGGAGAAGAGGCCTCTCCAGCTTCCGCGATGAGTCCTGTACCCGTTGTGGGCGGTTGGGACCCCAACAGGCTGCAGGCTGTGGAGCTGTGCCCAGAAGCAGAGGGGAGGGGAGAGGACACGGAGTGGTCTGACGGGCCCTGAGCGGTGGCGAGGCACCCGGCTGGGTTGACCCCTCTTCAATCAGGCCCAGGTGTGCTGTGTCCCCGACTGTCCGCCCCTTCCCTCTGGCCCCTGGCTCCTTGCTGGCACTGGTCACGCTCAGTCTGTAGAGGCCCTGGGCTATGAGGTCGGTGAAGCCCAGGAGACACCACGTTGCATGTGTGCCGCTGTCTGAACTGCTGTTTCCGGGTCCAAGCCTCCCCAGCCTCTCCGGCCCAGACAATGGTTCAAAGCCTCCTACGCCTCAGGGTGGTGGGGTGTTGGGAATGGTGGGGGGTGGGCACATCAGCAGCACCCCTGCACATGGATGCGCTGCTGCAGAACCCCACAGGGTAGTGTCGATCAGGGCTGCCGGAGCAGATGGCCCCTCCCGGGCCTCCAGGAGAAAGGAAGCCTGAGTGGGCCACTCAGCATGCAGAAGTAGCAGGAGCTGGGCCGCAGGCGTGGCTCTCCTCTTGGGAGCTCCTTCTTGGTCCCATAAGACTTAGTGCCAGGCCCTGGGAAGCCCCAAGTTCTGGGAGCAGAATGGGGTCACTGGCCCATAGGCCCCAGAGCAGGTGGTCAGGGGCTGAGCTTTCCCTGAGCGCCTGGCTGCACAGGTGAGCATTGTCTGCAGCAGGGGGCTCCTGCTTAGCCTGGCACCCCCAAGGGGGCCTCCGGTGGGATCCTAAGGGCTGTCTCTTGCCCTCAGTGAGGGTCTGGAGCTCAAAGGGGGGTCCCCAGACCCCTTGGATGCTGGGGCACCCTGGGCAACAGGAGAGGGAGGGAGGGCCTCTGAAGTCTGATCCCAAATGTTTCCACCTCCGTGGCCAGGGCGACCCACTCACCCCAGCCTGCCTGGGCCACTCCTGGCCTTGCAGGGAGTACCATGCTCTGGGAGGCCTCTGCCCTGGGCACAGTGGGACTCTGGTCATCCCATCTCTGTGTCCATCACTCCCACGGCCCTCCCTCCAGACCTGGGCATGGAGGCCCTGGCTGTCTGTGTGAGCGCCACCCTTTTGTGACTCAAGGGCCCTATGGGACCCTGCTCCACGGTGTATGCGGGGTGCCTCGCACCCCAAAATGGCCTGTAGGTTTGGGGTGGCAGGGACTCATTCCCAGGGTGCAGGAACAAGGCAGAACCCTTCCTGCTCAAGGGCGGCATTCCTGCGCATTTATTTCGGCAGCTGGCTTGAGCAGTGTGTGACCAATGGTTCTGGGATCCTGGGTGGCCTGTACGAGAATGGCCCACATTCCGGCTCTGGACAGGGCCAGTGAGGCCAGCAGAGTGCTTCTGTAGGCCCTTGTCCCTGCAGCCTCGACCCCACTGGGCACCTGGTGCTACACCTCTCTCCCTGGGGCCGCCCGGCCTCAGGCAGAGCGCAGCGAGGCTCCCTTCACCTGGCCTCTGCCTCCCCCTGCAGTGCTCACCTTCAAGGTCCCGGAAGACTTCCAGCAGCAGGTGGAGCAGCAGCGCATCGGGGCCACCACCCAGCGGCTCTCACAGACCGACTTCCCGCTCCAGGCCTACGAGCCCAAGGTGCAGGTGCCCTTCCAGGTGCTGCCCGGCCAGTGTCCCCGCAAGATCGAGATTGAGAGGTACTGGCCAGCAGCCGGGCTGGTGGGAGGGCCAGCCTCCAACCAGCTCCGTGGAAGTGGCAGGGAGCGTGGGACAGTAGACGACCCGGGGCACCTGCCAGCTTACTCACATGGTCTGCACCCCAGGCATGGGCCTGGACAGCAGCTGCTGTGAGGTGTGTGCATGTGTGTGCACGTGTGTGTGTACATGTGTGAGTGTAAGTGTGTGTACACACGTGTGTGCACGTATATTTGTGTGCGCATGTGTATATGTGTACGAGTGTGTGCCCGTGTGCATGTGTGTGTGTGTTTAGATAAAAATACCTGCCCCCTTTGCTTCTTGCTAGGAGCTCCCTCCCTGTGGGCTCGGGAGGCTGGCTTTTACTGCAGGGGGTGGGGCTGTGGGCAGGACGGGCCCTGGTCCCTACACTATTCCTGTGTCCCAGAACGGTGGTGGTGGTGGCGCCTGGAGGAGTCCCTGGTCACACCCCTGGGCCCTTGCTGAGACCCCTGGAGGCACTTGCATGGGTTGAGAGGTCACGGAGACCCCCTCCCCACCCACTCCAGGAGGAAGCGGCAGTACATGCGCCTTGACATCGAGAAGCTGCTGGCGGAGGAAGGCGTGGACTCCAACAAGCTCATGCCCAGGCACCCCGACCCCGAGGACCCCCAGACTATCGAGCAGGGCCACGACCCGCTTTTTCCCGTCTACCTCCCGCTGAAGGTGATCCCGGGTCCCTGGGGTGCCTGGTGGACGCTCACTCAGTCTCAAGCACTGAAACACACACACTGCTACCCACCCTGACTGTAGTCTTCCCTGGGAGCCTGACCTCTGTCCCGCCCGCGGGCCTCAGACATAGCCTGGTCTCACTGACCAGGGCCTGCGTGGACTCACCGAGATTGGGGGTGGCAGCCCCCACGCAGTCCCTGGGGCTTCCAACCCCTGGGGATGCTCACTCTCCCTGCCTGTCCTTTCTGCCCCTTGAGGGCCACCTGGCAGGTGGCCCTGCGCATAGAGAAAGCTGAATGCCAGGGGGCTGCCCCTGCCCTCCAGGGCCCTGGTGGCATGGTGGTTGGGCGCTTGGCCACTAACTGAGAGGTCCCTGGTTTGAACCTGCTCTGCGGGAGCAAGGCCGGGGAGATCTGCTCCTGTCGGCTGGCAGTCCCAGGGGCCTGGGTGGCCCTGCCATGCTGTCCCGTAGGGTCACCATGAGCAGACACAGTCTCCATGACACAGCACACCGCCTCCCTCAGGCCTGAGCTGGCCCATCCTGGGTGACACACGGGAGAGAGCTCCGTTCTGTTCTCAGAGTCCCCAGACACACTGCCCGAGCCCTGCTGGGGGGCCCGGTTTGGACGCAGAGAAAGGCTCAGCTGGTCCCCAGCCTGCAGCTGCCGGTCTGGGCAGGACACACCTATACAGGCCTGCAGGCATGTCCACCAGCCGAGGTCCCCGCCCACGTGCGTGCCCTCCCTCCTTCAGATCTTCGACAATGAGGACTTCGACTGCCGCACCCCACAGGAGTGGATTAGCATGGGCCTGGAGCCGGGGTCTCAGGACAGGAAGCCTGTCCCTGGAAAAGCCCTCCTGCCTACCGACGATCTCCTGGGGCACGGTGAGGAGGGCCAGGCCAGGACTCCTGGCAACCAGGGGGGCTGGGGGGTGGGACTCCCAGTGGGGAGACAAGCCACACACAGGCAGGTAACGACCTTGTCAGGAGTTGGGGAGGGGCAGTGAGAGGGTGTCCAGGGTCGGAAGAAAATGGTTGATTTGCTGATAATCTATAAAAACAAACTGCACGTGTTTGAATGGAATATTCAAGCAAGGTAGGAGTTCGGCAGGGACACCCCCGCAAGGCCTCTATCCCAGTACTCAGTATGCACCACTGGTCCAGCCACCTCCATAGGCGCTGGCTTTTCCCTCTGCATGGACAGCACGCACACACACACACACACACACACCTGCACACACGTGCACACCCAGTCATACTCACCATCACACACATGCACTTGGTCACATGTGCATGCACACACACAGACACACTTGATCACACAGCATTGCACACTCACACCTGCACTAGGTCAAACGTGCATGCACACACATACAGACACATCCAGTCACACTCACCATCGCACTCACAACTGCACTTTGTCACATGCATGCAGAGCAGTCACATGTGCACACACAGACACCCAGTCACAATCACCATCGCACACTCACACCTGCACTCTGCCACCCATGCATGCACACAAACTCAACATCGCACTCACACCTGCACTGTCACATGCATGCACAGTCATACCATTGCACTCAAACCTGCACTGTCACACGTGCATGCAGTCACACTCACCATCGCACTCACCTGCACTCTGTCACATGTGCATACACACAGTTGCACTCACACCTGCACTCTGTCACGTGCATGCAGTCACACTCACCATCACACTCACACCTGCACTGTCACACGTGCAGTCACACTCACCATCGCACTCACCTGCACTCTGTCACATGTGCATACACAGTCACACTCATCATCACACTCACACCTGCACTGTCATGTGCACGCAGTCACACTCACCATCACACTCACACCTGCACTCTGTCACATGTACATGCAGTCACACCATCGCACTCACCCCTGCAGTCATACGTGCATGCACATAGTCACACTCACCATCACACACATAGCCCCGCACACACTTACACGCACACATAACCCACTGCTATTGAGCCAAATCCGACTCACGGTAGCCAGATATAGTTTCTGAGGATGTAAATCGTTATGGGAACAGAGAGCCTTGTTTTTCTCCTGTGGAGCTGCTGGTGGGTTTGAACACCCAACCTTGAGGTTAGCTCAACAATGCCTGCCTGACACGCCACTAGGGCTCCCCCACACAGCACACCCACACCCTCTCTGGAATGCACAGGTTCTCACACACCTCAGTGATCCTAGACAGCCAGGCTGGAGCTCAGTCCTGTCTGTGTCTACTGGTTCATCCCTTGGCCCTGGGTCTGCCTTGGGGGGTGTGGAGGTCCCCCCAGGCTGGCTCTGGAGAGCAGTGCCAGGGGAGCATGAGAGGTCTCCATGAGGCCTCTAAGGAGCTGGAGGTGGGATCCCATGCAGGGCAGGGGACTACTCTGCTCCCTTCCCCATGGGGGACCTCCAGCAAGGCAGGACTGTGAAGGCCTGGCGGGTTTGACGACCCCTCAGCCCCCAGGGGCCCTGCAGGGCACCCATTGAGCGAGCTCTAAATTTGCGTTTCGATTTAAAGCCTGCTAATGTCGAAATCAATTTCTGCGAACTAGACAAGAAGCCCAAAATGTTCCTTGGCTTCAGATTTAATTACAAAAAATAATTTAACTCAATTGTTCCCAGGTCTCCAATTCCTGCTGATAAAGCCAGGAGGTTTGGGGCTGCACTAACCTTAACGCACCACTCCTTAGACTCCCCTGAGGGGCTCCTGCTCACCGCCTTCCCATGGGCCTCCCTCGGGACAGTGGGCACGGGGGATCCTGCAGGGAGGGTGGCGGAAGCATCCTTTGTGCCAGAAACCGCTTGTTTCCTGCCGGGCCTCCTGTGGCGTCTTTTGTTCTAAGATGAGCCAAAGCCATGTCAGCCTGAGACTGGGGAAGGGAGAAAGGACAGCAGCAGGTGAGGTTCCCCAAGGGCGCACCACGGGCATGCGTCCACGTGGAGGCTGGATGACTGACCGTGCCGGAGGCCTCCCCCTTCCACCGGCATCCAGTGAGCACTTACTTCACACCAGCCTGCATCCCAGGCACAGAGGACATAGCTGTGACCATAGCTAGGTCACAAAGTGCGGGCACTAGTGGGGGAGAGGGTGGGATGACACAGGCCTGGCAGGACAGTAATGGAGACAGCGTGGGAGAGACCGGGCTGGGGGGCCTGTCAGCAGTGCCTCAGTCAGGACAATGTTTTAAGCAAGATTCTAAGGAGAGGCCACCTGGGTCGGGAGGTGACCAGAGGGAGGAGGGTTGTAGGAGGTGGCACAGCCAGAGGCAGTAGCACGCTGGGATGGGATGGCACTGGGGTCAGCCTCCCTGCGGCTAGAGCATAATCAGCAAGGGGCAGGGGTTGGCTAAGACTCCTGGCCTGAGGAGCTGGCCTGGGGGTGGGGAGGGGTGTCAAGTAAGCCCACTGGAGCCAGCAGGGTGGGCTTCAGCCTGGCCTTGGTCATCTGGAGAGGGTCCAGCCCAGCCACCAGGACTTTTACAACAGGGTCCTGGACAGGTCTGCCTGTGGCCTTCATGCCTTCTGTCCCAGCCCCACCAGCCGGTGTATTCTGGGGGGGACGGAAAGCAAAAACATGGGTGGGGGAGGCTGGTCCTTCTGGTCATCTGCTGCCCGCCTCAGAGGCCAGCTCAGCTGAGAGTAAGCAGGGCCCCGACTGGGCAGATGCAAAAGAGGGCTCCTCATAGTAGGAGAGGCCAGCTCCCAGCACCAGCCTCTTGTCCCTGGAGTCCCCCGGAGCCCCCTTGCCCTCTGGGCTGGAAGCACTGGCAGGACCCACACCCCCCCTTGCAGAGGACCCCAAGAGTCGGACGCTGGAGTACCGCTGGTGCGAGGTTGGCGTCCTGGACTACGACGAGGAGACCAAGCTGTACCTGGTGCACAAAACGGACCAGAACGGCTTAGTGCGCGATGAGAAGGGGCGGCCCATCCGGAACGCGGGCATCACCAGCGAAGGTACGCCGCGGGGCCCCAACTAGGGCCCATCCTGGCCTGTGCCTGCGGCCAGCGGCCAGCTCGGGTCCGGATCCTCTGCCCAGTAACTGTCACCTGTGGCCGTCTGCCCCTGGCCACGGAGAGCCCTGGGCAGCTGGTCGGGCTGCTTCCAGCCGCGCTGGTCCGCTGCTGCAGCGTGTCCCTTCTCCCTGTGTCCCGGTCCCCCGTCCAGGGAGGCCTCCTCTCCTGGCCCGCCAGTACTGGATACCGAGGGTCCAGCTGCTCTTCTGCGCCGAGGACCCCCGCGTGTTCACGCGGCGCGTGGTCGAGGCCAACGCTCTGCGCAAGAACACGGAGGCGCTGCTGCTGTACAACCTGTACGTGGACTGCATGCCCGCGGACGGCGAGCGGCCGCTCGGCGAGCCCAGCCTGCAGCGGATCCAGCAGTGGGCGCTGAGCACGCCGCGCATGCGCAGAGGGCCCCTGTGAGTCCGCCAGGCCTTCCCTCCGCGGCGCCGCCGTCCCTGCGTCACTTCCGGTAGCCGGAAGTGCCCGCCGGGGCCGCCGAGCGCGCGCCTGTGGGGCCCCCGAGGGGTTTCGGGCCGGCCCCAGGTCCCCTCGTCGTCCGTGCGGACTCCTGGGTTTGTTCAGAGGTGATGGTCTATCGACTTATCCAGAGTGGGCCGGTGGGGCCTCTTCCCGCGTCCTGGGCGGGACAGGCGGATCTGTGTCAGGCTGCTGACCCCAAGGTCAGCTGTGGGAACCCCCCTGCCCGTCCCAGGGAGGAAAGAGCTACAGCCTCCTCGGAGAGGCCGGGCCCCTCTGGTATTTCCCTGCCGCTCCCCAGTTACACCTTAGGCTTTCAGTGTGCCCCCCTGTGAGTGACCCCCAATCCGTCCAGTGGACAAGGGCTGCCCCACCGTCTTTCCTGTGTGTTACCTTGTGATGGTTGCTGTGAGTTCTGTGGGGGTTCACCAGGGGAACACTTCATCAAACCTCGCAAAGGGTTTCTCCGCCCTCTCTCCCCTCCTCTCTCCCCTGGAGATGCGGTCTGAGCTCCGAAGTCACCACCGGCCTGCCCTCAGCCCCGGGCGTCCCCTCCCACCTCGGTAACCAGCAACCTTTTGCTATGAGAACTTTTTCTTGATTGTTTTTAATAATAGTGGTCTCAAACTATAAGTGTCATGTTCCTCTTGTCACTTCCTAGTCTATAATCGTACTTTCTTTTCTAAAACTTCAGTGTGGCTTGTCTGACTTGTTATTAACAAATTAGGATTTAGACGGACTAATTAGATTAACTGTTTTTCTATCCCCCACCTCATTCATTTCTACTTTCATATTTATTCCTTCCTTCCTGTGCACTCTTTGTCTCACGCTTAGGGTTTGTTTGTTTAATAGAAAGCGGCAATGCTTGTGACATGTGCTGTGTGCGCACTTGCGTACGCACGTGCTGGGCACTGAGCCTGCTTCCATTAATGCTAAAAAAGGGGTTTGAAACGGAATGCTGCTCAGATACCCTGATCCTACTTTAAACGTGACCCACAGGTTCTTTTTTTTTTAGGAAATTTTTTAAAAATCACTTTATTGGGGGCTGAGTTAGGTAATTGTGCCAGCCTGGCCGATAATCACATGTGGGGCTAATTGAAAGGCAGAGGGATAAATGGGTGGTGAGTCTCACCTTTCTAGTTCTTGGGTCTCTTGTTTTGTGATGGTTGTATCGGGTGCAGCTGCCTTAGCAGTTCCCTGCTTCAGCTTGCAAGATTGACTTCCTACAAGCCATCCCCAAGGAAAAGCC